AAGCATCAGCAATGTTCTGGACATCAGCAACTTCCTGACCATTGCAGAACAAGATGGAAAGAGGATGGGAATCATAACTCCCAGTGACTTTTGAAATCTTGTCCCATATGGTTTTAGAAGTGGTGGTAAAAGAGATGCTAGTAGTGAACTTAATCCAAGACTCCTTTTGGCTTTGATGTCAAACCTGCCAAGCATGGACATGGGCCCACTGATAAACTATGTGGTTAGAAAGAAAGGGATACTATAGGAAGGTATCCCAGGCCCGTTTTTGAGCCTTTCATGCCTCCTGGTAGGCAGGACTCCACCATGGAAAATGTATCGAGGTCTTAGGAATAAAGTGAGCAGCTGCCTGGATGAAACAATCAGTCACTGCTCCCACACAGTCATCTATTGATGGCAGACAGATAATGGCAGAATCAAGTTCAGAGAGAGCGGTGAAAGAGTGCCAGTTAGCCTGGTCCAACTTCCATCATGGCACTCGGGTCGGGTGACATCGACCATGGCCAACCTCCTTCAAGACAAGAGGAAAATGATCACTGCCTCGTGGGTCACTGTCAACTGTCCACGAAAGGTGGGAGAAAAGTGAAGGGGATCAGATCAAGAGATCTATGGCAGTGAAAGACTGACTAGGTGCATGAAAATAAGTACAAGGTCCAGTATTGAAGAGAGAAAGGTTGTGATCTGAAAGCAGAATGACCCCTCATCAATAGCAGCACCACCCCAGAGGGGGTTGTGTCCATTAAAATCTCCCAGCATTAAAAAGGGAGATGGCAACTGTTCAATGAGAGCATCAAGGTCTGATTGATCATAAGTCTCACCAGGAGACAGGTAGTGAGAACAAACAGTGATAGTACGACCCAAGGAAACACGGATGGCTACAGCCTCCAAGGGTGTATCGAGTGACACAGATAAGGAGGGCACATGCTGGTTGACCAGCAATGCCACCCCTCCATGCATTCAACCATCACACAACATGTCATTCTGGTACAAAGAAAACTGCTGAAAGATGACTGTACTGGCAGGTTTCAGAAACGTTTCCTGTAAGTAGAGACACACAGGATGATAGGAATAAATCAAGGTCTTAATGAAAACCTCTACAGTTCCACTGTATCAAAGTGGCCATTTTTATTTAGGTAGAGAAGAACTGGGTAGAGAACCCTTTGGTTTACGACCATGCCATTTTTATTTAGTAGAAGGAGGTCTACTGACCTCCATGGATCCTGCCCTCAGACGAATGGGCAAATCTCTGTCATCAGACTTAAAATCCAGCAACTGAGGACGTGATTGAATGATTGGCCTGCATCTCTGAACCAAAGAAGGACCCGAGGGGATACCTGAGGCTGGTGCCATAGGAGGAGGACCCAGGCAGTCACTGGAAGAAATGGTAGGGACAGAGATTGGAGTAGACATAGACTGGTCAACTCTGTTATCCATTGAGGGCAGAAGACTCCTCACATGACGTGAAAAAGACTCAGATGGAAGCACGGAAAGGTCTGTCTGCACTCCCACTGTAACAGTGGAGTATAGTGCAGTGGCATATGTCAAGATGGAGTAGGGAACAATAGTTTCCGAGACTTGGGGTAAGAAATGTTGTTAACAGTCTTCAAATGCTATATCTCTTTCTCCTCCATTCACTTAGGGCAAGATCTAAAGTAAGAGAGGTGGGAACCACTACAATTAACATAGTGAGGGTCCAGTTCGCACTCGTAGGCATCACGATCCTTGCCATCTCAAAATGAGAGCACTGGTAGGCAGCATAAGTTCGTCTTTATGAGTGGAGATAAGATGCACCACAGAAACTCCTTGGCTGGAGAAACCAGCGAGGATCTCCAACTCAGAGATGTTCTTCAAATCCCTCTCGAAAATAATTCCTCGTGATGAATTCGAAAAAACAATGGGTATATCCCCAATGGCCTTGGAATTCAAGAGAAGGTCACTGTGTTTAGCTGTGGATGTTTCCACCAAGATGTCTCCAGAACAGAGCTTCTTAACTGACTTTGGAGAGCCAGCAAGCCCTTCTAATCTCTTCTGTATAAAAAAGGGAGACATTTGCCATAAAGATTTATTCTGTTGTAGAGGAAAAGATTGGGCTCGACTGAGATGAGTATTAAAAAGACACCCAAGTGGACGAGATATTGGGTAGGTCAGAGGAAGGACTTCTCCAATTCAATTAACCCGCCCACCAGAGCAGTCACTAGAAGGAGCTGATGAGTATGCTAGGCTGACTCCAGTTCGGAATGAGCCAGAAAAAGCCAATCGTCCATATAATGGTGTAATCACAAACCCAGAGCATGAAGTTGGTAAGCAAAAGCTTTGGCCACCTAACAGAAAACATAGGATGTGGAAGCAAGATTGAAAAGCAGGGTGCAATATTGATAGACCACCCCGTGTTGGATGAACCAAAAATACGGACAAGACCATGGTGATATAGGGATGTGCTGATGAGCATCAGCAACATCCATCTTGGTCATCCATAAGCCCAGAGAAAATGCCTACTGTAGGGTGAGAAATGACTATGTGGTAAAATGGGAGCAGTTGAATGAAGCAATTGAGGTGGGACAAATCGATGACAGGACTCCAGTCCCCAGTTTTCTTGGGAACAACAAAGAGTCTGGAATGAAAATCTGGTGAAGAATGTAGAACAAGTTTAATGGCCTGCTGAGACAGTAGTTTCTGAACTGCCTCCGACAGAAGTTGGCTGGTTATGGGATCTGGAGGTGAAAGGAAGAAAGGGAAATAGGAGACACAGGAGGTGGGGAAAAAGTGGGATCACAAATTCTTCTGATAAAACTTGAATAACCCAATGATTCTTGATGAAAGGATGCCAGTGATGAAGAAAATTGGCAAGTGAAGCTCCCACCAGGTAGACACTGATACCGTTGGTGATGTGATGATCGTCGTCAAAGAAAATGATGAGACAACGCACCCCGAAAAGAAGAAGGGACAAGTAAGGGTTGGGAAGGGGAGAGACAGAAATGGTAACAGGTGCCATACTGAACTCCAACTGAGACAAACAGGCAACAAGGTTGGAAAGGGTAGACTGTTGTTATACATATACAACTCATAATTCCACAGACTCAGATATCTTGTCAAACACGTACCACTGCAGAAATAGGGCCATATGTAAATTCCGAAAATAAGATGATGGTAAACGGATGTGAGTTAAGGTCATATCACAACCTAGGATGTCCCAACAACAGAGAAACCATGTATGTAAAGCCAGAGCCGAAGGTGACAAATAAGCCAACATGGAGGAAAGGGAGAGAATGTACCCAGAAAACCCCTGAGGATTTCGGTGGAGAACCTCTGAGAGGAGATAGATGGTAGAGAGATACCATAAAAGAGTTGTGAGGGTAACATAAAGCCGGGAAAATTAGGTATGGGTCAGACTTACAGGAGATTTGGGGGCCACACACCACACAGGCAAAATGGAACCTAACAGCTGCTGGTACAGAAAAGTACAGTCTACACATTGATATGCAAGACCAAACTGATCCAAAGCCTGTGTGGGGTGAGGCATGCTAATCCTGTCACTTAATTGTGATAAAAATTGATCAGCATGTACCCAAATATCCGGGGAGGGTGGAAAAACCAAATAGATATAAAATATCACATACCTGAGAAACAAAATCCAAAAAGACTGTATTAGGCCTAACTGACTCCTCGGGTGGGGCATGGGAAGGCACAGCAAAATCAGGAGGTGGAAATAGACAATCCCAGTCCTAGTCCACCTGAACAGACTCAGCTTGTTTGGGAGGAAGTGGAGCAAAGTCCAGAGACAGAGTTTGACCCATGTAACATTCAATCTCCCAGCGAATAAACATGGATAAATGCCCTGCTGGGTCACCCGCACCTGAGGCCTAAGCTATAGCTCTAATCGCAGGTAACATGAACTTCAGAATTCATAATGAGGAAAAGTCAACCAATGATCAAAAGTATAAATAACAATTCAACTGTAATAACTTGGGAGTAAAGTGAAGTTCAGAAACAGTCTTAATAGAAACTAGAAGAGAAAATAAATTAAGACCACTTTGTGAGTATACTAAAGATGAACGTGAAACTTTAAACAAACAAAAAGGAACACTTCCAAGCACAAGCGCTGACATACAAGAAGTGATAGTTTGGTAGAGGCATATAGAGGGAGTCACATACGTCATGTGAGTATGTCACGCTCCTATTGGTGGAGAAATGACGCATGATGATTTACCTGAGAGACATGTTGAATCATTCAATTTCAATAGGGGGGAGCAGAAGGCTTGTGGCATGCATAAAGAAAAATTTACATATAGAGGGCAGCAATGAACGAGAATAGCTAATCTTGTGGAGGGAAGTACCGTATCAGAAGTATGAAAGAAATCATGAAAATTTAACAGACTGGCTCAAAATACAATAACTATATACTTTAATAGAACAGTGCAATTTACAGTATTTAATTATCTTTAACTAATTAAGGTAAGAGTGATATCACACAAATTCATCAGAATGTAGCATAAACGTAGGTTGTATTCCTTTTATTTAATTAGTTTAAGTAGAAGTTTTAATCTAGATAACCTATATGCATACTCAAAACTATTTACTAGTTAATGCTATATGTGCTCATGATTTGGATGCTTGAAAGGTTTTATTAGACAAACACATATATAAAGGTTTACTTAGTTCTTTGGTATAAAAGTATTGAATTCTCCAAGAATGTACTGATAAACTTACGGTAGCACAATAAATATCCATTTTTCATTTGCTGAATTTTAAATTCTGAATAAATTTCATTCATATAACACTTGACCTATAAAAAAATATATGACTTACCATAATTATCAAGGTGTAGGTCAACAGAGGAGTATTAACCTAAAAGTAAATAATGAAAATTGGAAACATATATTGAATGAGTAGTTTATATCAGTTATGAAAATTCTTCAAAATAATTGTTTTCTTTTTCCTTGAAGATTTCTAATGACACAGCTAATCCTTTACGCACTGTTCATTGGATCACTGAGGAAATAAGAATTTATACACGTAAAAATTGTCACTACAATGACACATTTTGTTCTAACTTTGTAAGAATTTTATAAATCTCATAAAATGAGTGAAAATAAAAAATAAAAGTATTTTAAATTCGATGACGAGGAACCCACTTTGAGACTAATAATGCTTGGAGATGGCTTGAATGGGTAATGAAGAAAAACTTCAATATAAGTTTAACATAACAGCAAATGTACAATGTTTCGACAAGGTTTTGTCATCATCAAGTACAAGTAGTTTACACTGACACA